CACCTCCCTGCCACCTTCTCCACCACCTCCTCCTCCACCAGCTTCTCCCCTCCTCCTTCTCCACCAGCTTCTCCCCCTCATCCACCACCTTCTCCCTTCTCCCCCTCCTCCTTCTCCACCAGCTTCTCCCGTCCTTCTCCACCGCAATTACATCTGATTGGTTATAACACAAACCACGTGAAAAAATATGCAAATTATCTCCTGTACCGGCCTGAATATAGACAAACCCAAGTAGTTTGCAGAAACATGGTTTTCCGCGCGCAGTGTGCAACCTTTGACCTACGTACGTGGAGCGATAACGTAGCCTCGGGCGCATATGGCGGCCGCCGATTCCGAACCCTCCAACGGCCACCGCTCCTATTGAGCACGCTTATGGAAAGCATTTTGTACCAAAAAGCATAAAACCTAGTTTTAGACCCTAAAACCGGGTTTTAAGGTCTTAATAACCCGGTTTTAAGGTCTAAACCAGGTTTTAAGCTCTTAAAACCTAGTTTTAAGCCATAAAACCGGGTATTAGGCCTAAAAACCCTGGTTTTAACATCTTAAAACCCGGTCTAAAACTAGGTTTTACGGTCTAAAACTAGGTATTAAGACCTTAAATCCTGGTTTTAGACCTTAAAGCCGTTCAGCCGTGCAGCCGTTAACCCCCCCCCCCTCCACCACCACCACCATGCGCTATTAAGCTATGGGCCGTAGGAAAGTGTACTAACTCTAATATCTCGCGAACGAATTGAGTTACATTTCTAAAATTCTAGATACATATAAACACATGTCTTAGCTATGGTCGTGAATATGAAGTTTATTGACGCACGATTAGTTTAATTAATTAAAAAGTGTACTATATATGTATAACTATACCATATGGCGCGAACAAATTGAGTTACATTTCTAAAATTCTAGATACATACAGACACATATTAGTTTCATAACGTTGAAATTGACATTTTCGGGAAAAATCTCACGAACGTGCGGAAATTTTAGCCTACTGTATGAGCGATACCGCGCGTATATATTTGGTAATTAATTAAACTATTCGTGCTTCAATAAACTCAAAATTCACGGGAATTATAGCTACGACATGTGATATGTATCTAGAATTTTAGAAATGTACCTCAATTCGTTCGCGCCATATGGTAGTTATATATAGTACTAGCGGGACACCCGGCGTTGCCCGAGGAAATCAGTGGCGTTACTCAGTAGGTGACCGCTTGGTTGAAAGGAAAACGCCCAAAAAATCTAACTATCTATCTATCCAT